ATAGAGAGCAGTGAGGAGTATATTGGCAGTATCAGGAGGGGTAATGTGTTTATACTGAATTAATATATAGAGAGCAGTGAGGAGTATATTGGCAGCCTCAGGAGGGGTAAGGTGTTTATACTGAATTGATATATAGAGAGCAGTGAGGAGTATATTGGCAGCCTCAGGAGGGGTAAGGTGTTTATACTGAATTGATATATAGAGAGCAGTGAAGAGTATATTGGCAGCCTCAGGAGGGTTAATGTGTTTTATGCTGAACTCATATTTAAAGGGGCACTGCAGTTACCAGCACAACTACAGCTTAATGTAGTTGCTCTGGTGTCTATAGCCTGTCCCTGTAGGATTTTTTTTAATGTAAACACTGCCTTTTCAAAGTGTCCAACTTGTCTGGTTACAATTACATGTTTGTTAGTCCACCCATTGTAAAGCATTTAGGAATTTGTTAGCTCTGTATAATAAGTGGTTATGGTGCCTTTTTAGTACCCCTTTAATTTTGTGGTTTTATTTCCTGTTTACATGTCCGACCAGGGCTGGTGTTTAGTGCATGTAGTGTGGTGTTGAATATAACTTTTCTCTCTCTCTTCTCTCTTGTGTATAAAAAGTGACTGATTGTTCTGAATAGGGGCAGCGTCACCAATTGAATGCTCCTGTTGGTTTCCTTGGTGACTGCTCCACATTTAGGTTTTTAGACCACGCAAACATTTTAAGCTACTCCCTATCGGTTTTCTATACCGAACCCGTACTGGGTTAATGTGGTTTGGGCTGCATTATTTAATTGATTTACTAATGAAACCATCAATCTTTGCTTAATTTTATGTAGGATCTTCCACCTCCTTCCCCACCCCTCTATTTATTTTATTATTTATTTTCTTTCTTTTTTTTTTTTAGAAAGTGTAACACTTTATTCAGATGTGTGCTTTTATTATCTACGTTAACTTGTCTTGTTTTATCTATGTATGATCTATGTTAACTTTTTGTCTTATCTTCTATTATCTATGTCTTTTTATTAAATGAGTGGATTGAACTGTTGGCTTCTACAGTTTATCTGATCACACCAGTCATACCCATTCGTGTTATCAAACTTTATGATTAAGGAGGGCAGGGCCTGACTACCCACCAAAATAGTAGCATGTAGCTGGTGCTTCTCACGGAATGCCTGAAACTCAGCCTTTAACCCTACAAAACCACACTTATTTTTTGCAAGTACTTTTCTCTATTCATTGGAGAATACCAGACTGAGCATTTTAAATTCTATTTAAAGGACCACTATAGTGCCAGGAAAACATACTCGTTTTCCTGGCACTCTAGTGCCCTGAGGGTGCCCCCACCCTCAGGGACCCCCTCCCGCCCGGCTCTGGAAAGGGGGAAGGGGTTTAAACTTACCTTTTTCCAGCGCTGGGCGGGGGAGCTCTCCTCCTTCTCTCCTCCTCCGTTCCGCCCCGTCGGCTGAATGCGCACGCGCGGCAAGAGCTGCGCGCGCATTCAGCTGGTCGCATAGGAAAGCATTTACAATGCTTTCCTATGGACGCTAGCGTGCTCTCACTGTGAAAATCACAGTGAGAAGCACGCAAGCGCCTCTAGTGGCTGTCAATGAGACAGCCACTAGAGGATTAGGGGTTTCTCTGAAACTGCTATGTTTATTAAAAATGGGTTAACCCTAGCTGGACCTGGCACCCAGACCACTTCATTAAGCTGAAGTGGTCTGGGTGCCTAGAGTGGTCCTTTAACTGGACGTACAGGGTATTTCCAGAGTTAGCCTCCTCGGCGGCCTGCAGATGTATTTGAGGTGGAGGAAGCAGCCTACTCTCAGCCCTTTATCAGCTCCAAACTGTCTTTGGCCCTGTTCCTTTTGGACTGGTGGAAGATATCCCAGTCATCACTGGTGGGCAGATCAAGACATCTGCAGCCCAGCAAAGTTGGCAGATTGAGGCCTTCTATTCAAGATGACCACTTATCTGGGGTCTGCTTTACAATATTCCTCCACGATAACCTCCCACCTGTACCCGCTTACTCAAGTCTTTGATCGGTTATGCTCACAATTTTGGGCTATGCTACACCAGTGAGCGGTTGGTCCTGCATCTACGCTCTACGCCAGATGTTTCACGACTTCACCTCCATTACGACACAATGGAGCAAAGGTTACGCCAAATGTGCCCAGAAAAGCACCATGAGAGGTGAGACAGGAGAAGAAACAGAGGTTGATGCCGAAATTCCCGTTCCCAACTTCGCCAACACTCACCTGGGCCAAGCCCCCACGCAGAGCTCACACCTTCAGGATGGTGGCATTCAGTGGGAAGATCCTGGTTTGTTTTTATTTGAGCCATAACGCTTGTTTATGGTAACCAAGTGGTATTTTCTCTTTGTTTATTTTTATCTTACAAGCATATGATCCTTTATGTTCAGGTATAGCTGTAATCTGCAATCCATGGTAATAAGATTACGCATCTACTGCTGATCTCATATATACCTCCTTTCTAAACTTTTACAAACACTCTTATTTCTCTGTTAAAATGAGGCGACAATATTGTCTGCAAAACTTGTTCTAATCACACAACCAATGCTGACACGTCAGTTGCAGTGTCTACTTGTGCGTTATTGTATTTTCCTCAATAAAAACTAAAATTACAATAAAACATACAAATCTCTTATGAATAAATTAAACAAACAAAAATAAACATATAAAATTACTGGGATGTGACTGTTTACCTTTTAATTTGCTTTTAGAGTTGAGCGAACTCGAACTGTAAATTTCGGGTTTGTATCGAACATTACGATTTTTTGACCCCGAACACGAACCCGGACATTTCAGTAACCGTTCGGGTTCGAGTTCGGCAATTTAATGGCGCGTTTTGAAAAGCTCCAGGGCAGCCAATCAACAAGCGTTTGACTCGTGAGCCCTTAGAAGCCATCACATCCATGCCTACTAATGGCATGGCTGTGATTGGCCAGTGCAGCATGTGACCCAGCCTCTATATAAGCAGGAGTCACATGATCTCTTATTAGTGTAGGGCAGTGATGGCGAACCTTTTTGAGCCCGAGTGCCCAAACCGTAATACATGCCAATTTTTTTTCCCTCAAAGTGCCAAAACGGCATTTAAACCTGAATACTGAGGTTTAAGTTTTGAAAAAACAACTCATACAGTTGTCCGAACTAATTAACATCTCTGTGTGTGTATTTAGCAGTCTGTCTGTCTGTGTACTTAGCAGTCTGTCTGTGTACTTAGCAGACTGCTGAATACACACACAGACTGCTGAGTACACAGTCTGCTGAATACACACACAGGTAGAAAACGGATCAGCGCTGAGTGGTATGAACAGACAAGAAGCAGCAACCTATAAATATGAGGTTCCCTCTAGAGTCCTCAAGGGAGAAATGGCAAAAACAAGAATGATAGGTTGCGCTACAAAAAAAACCACACAAATAGACGGAAATAAATATATAAAAACGGTTTAACACATAAATATATGTAAAAGAGAAATATATAAAAAATAATAAATAATAATAGTCCAAATTGTAGGTATTGTAAGTTTAAATGGATAAAGTGGTGGTTGTAGTATTTAGTATGTTTCTCTTACAAGTTCCAGTAAGTGTATGGTAGTAGTATGTCCAATAGGGAAAGTAGATCTTCTAATCTTTAGAGGAGTCTTGGCTCGATGGTAGACATAGAAAAAAGAAAGACAACAAAGACGATCCAATAGTGTAGACTGTTTGTTGATGGAAGAAATAATAAATAGGTAATACACTCACCTATATTAGAGCATAGACTTGCTCTAGTGTATTTGGCATTCAGTGGCGTTTGTCCCCCACTGGTAGGGTATAGGTGAAGATGATCCCTCGGTTTTGCAAAGGAGATAAAAGCAAAAATATAGTGCTCACTGGATATGAGTAAATTAAATCAAAAGAAAGGAATAAAAATACTCACATTTGGATGAGCAGGGTACACTGCTCAATATAACCGCATAGGTGGTATAATCCCCACCTAGGATTCTTGGTCTTGTGTAGGCTCCAGAATAGTATATGACCAGGTAATGACAAAATTATTAAAAATGAAATAAAAAAGGTTATATGGCAAAATTGTTATAAATAGCCACTATTCCTTTATTAGTACAATATAAAATTTATAAAATAGCCAAAACGCGTTTCGCCACACAGGGCTTTATCAACTGGCAATAGTAAAAGTCAGCCTGGTACATAGATACTTTTATAACCTAAGATAATTTGAAAAAGCATGTTTTATCTTAGGTTATAAAAGTATCTATGTACCAGGCT